CAGGGAGCCAGATGCGGGACTCGATCCTGGGACTCCAGGATCATGACCTGAGCCGAAGGCAGTCGCTTAACCAACTGAGCCACCCAGGCGCCCCCCAGCAGCTCCATTTTACATGTGCAGAAACTGAGGCTCGTGGAGGTTACGAGGCTTGCACAGATTCGCCCAGCACCAGCATTTACCCCGGGGTCTGCCGCCCCCAGAACCACTGCCTCTTCCCAATCAGGGCCTTAGAGGCAGCGCACTGAGCCTGCAGGAGCCAGGGAGGAGGGGTGGAAGGGCAGCGGTGGGGTCAGCTGCTCAGAGAATTGGGGCCTGGGGTCCAGGGTGAGGGGCTGTTCCCTAGCAGAAAGCAAAGGCGCCACCAGCGGAAGGGCTGCTTGCTCCCCGCAGGGGTCGTGGGCCTGAACCTATGGCCGCAGCAGCCCCATGGGCTCTACCTTCTGCCGCCTGGAGCTCCTTTTATCGAGCTGCTCCCAGTCAAGGAAGGAGCCCAGGAAGAGGCTGCCTCGACCGTCCTGCTGGCCGAGGCCCAGAAAGGCAAGGAGTACGAGCTGGTGCTGACCAACCGCACTGGCCTCACCAGGTGATCACCTGCTGACCCCCAGGTCCCCTCAGGCCCTCAGTGACCCTCCTGAGGCCCAGGGACATGAGCTAATGGGCCCTTGGGCCAAGCTCACCACCACCACTGCCCTGTCAGGTGCCGCCTGGGTGACGTGATACGGGTGGTCGGTGCCTACAATCAGTGTCCGGTCGTCAGGTTCGTCTGCAGGTAGGCAACTCCCCGGGGGAGCTGAGCGGCTGTCCTTGTGCCCTAGGCCCCTCTGCCTCCCCCTTCCTCCTCCCCAGGCTGGGCCAGGCCCTGAACGTGCGGGGAGAAGACATTCAAGAGCACGTGTTTTCTGAGGCCCTGGGCCGGGCCGTAGGGCAGTGGCCAGGGGCCAAACTGTTAGACCATAGCTGTGTGGAGAGCAGCATTCTGGGTGAGCTTCTCCATCAGCTCCTGCCCCTTCCCCCCGTTCTTGAGTTGGCTGCACCGCCCGCCCCCATACCATACCCATCCTGAAGGAAGAACTCTAGGAAAGAGGTAAGACCGAGCCTCTTCTGCTGCTCCTCACGAAAGTCCTTCCCCATGTCTAACTCCCATCCCTCCCGCAGTCTCTCCCCCTTTCCTTTCCTGACCTGCTTCATAGCTACGATTAGGCTTTGGGTTCCTCCCCATTTACCCCCCTCTCTGCCAAGAAATTCCTTTTCTCCCATGAACCTCGGAGTGGGGTAGGACAGGCGGGGGCACAGACATTGGTGTTGGAAGCCGCCCTGTTCACAGAAGTCTGTGTGCCTGGGGGTTTGTCTACAGATTCCTCCGAGGGCTCTGCTCCCCACTATGAGGTGTTTGTGGCGCTCAGGGGGCTGAGGAACCTGTCAGAGGAAAATCGAGACAAGGTAAACGAGACAGGGACAGGATGTGACTCCATGTCCCCTTCACTATGCATGCCCCCAGGTGCCCGGGGCACAGCGCAGGGATGGGGAGGAGGGGGGGCGGGGAGGAGAACCTCCCTGGGGGCTCGGGGAGGGGAGAGATGAGGCCCACGGACACATGCGTATGCATGAAACGCCTATCGTGCACATGCTGACATCATCAGGCGCCCCACATCCACAGAGCCACACCCCAGCCTCACCCAGGCCGTTCTCTTCCCAGCTTGACCACTGCCTTCAGGAAGTCTCTCCCCGCTACAAGTCCTCGCGGTTCTGGGGCAGCGTGGGCCCAGCCAGGGTTCACCTGGTGGGGCATGGGGCCTTCAGAGAACTCCGGGCCGCCCTTGCAGCCTGCCCCTCGGACCCCTTTCCTCCCGAGATGCCCCGGGTCCTCAGGCACAGGCATTTGGCCCAGTGTCTGCAGAGGAGGGTGTTGTCCTGAGCTGAGGTCTGCCCACTGGCCCATCCCCCTTCATAGGCCACCTCCCTCTTTGCTCTGCGGCCTCTCTGGATGAGAACCCTTGGCCAAGGTCTTTGACTCTGTTACCTGATAGTGGCTCATCAGAGCTGCCAGGCCTTAGGGAGGTCCGACCTAGTCAGCCCATGCTGAGCAGCTGACGTCAGCTGACTTCGGCGGACGCCTGCAGGGGCCTGCCTGGAGCCCCATGGCCCCCTATGGAGGACACTGCTAGAGTTCCCGAACACGCCGGTGCTCCCGTGTCTCCAGCCCAGTGCACTGCGCAGGCTGCAAGTGTTGGCAGTTAATGCTCCTGGAAGCCACCCTCTGTCTACAAGAAACAGGAGTTGGAGGAAAAAACCCCAGCGTCATTGTCCCTCAGTGCAACAATTCTGAAGTGTATTCTGCTCCAGTTGCCCACAATGATAACCCTCTCAATAACACAGTTCTTACTGGTTTTCCTTCCTTCCATCCCTCCCATCCCCACTCCCTTATCTGCTTTCTAGGATCATCTCCCAAATAAACCTCTTGCACCAGATTCTTGACTCAGGGCCTGCTTATGGAGAAACTGTAATAGTCCCATTTGCTCTGTTTCTGCGCCACCTGGCTCCCCCCTCCACCTTCGGCTCTGGATACCAGGGCTCTCCTCCCACTCCCCACTCCAGGTCGGGGTAGGCCCCGAGTGTGTGTGCACCTCTTTCCACTCCAAGCTGATCCAAAATGTGGCAGGACTGCTCTCTAACTTCCCTTGCCCTGGCTTAGCACAGGTCCCTGTCTGGCCCAACACCCACAAATCACTTCCCTGGGTAGGGGCTGTACTGCAAATCATGAAGTATCCCAACAGGGAGCAATCCCAGAGACCATGTGGCTTAACTGTCCATCTTACCCATGGGGAAACTGAAGCTTCATGTGGCTGTGAGGCTCACCCAAGGCCCCACAGCTCCTCCTAAGTAACATGGCCTAGTTCCCGATCAGTTGCTAAGTTTCCAATTCTGTCTCTGAATTACTTCTGGATTCCATGCCCCCCCATCCAGGCCACCCAGCCCCCCATCAGCCCCACGACTCCTTCCTGCTAAAACCTCCTATGGCTCCCCAGTGCCCACAGGATCGAGACCAATCAGCTGAGCTTGTAAGACCCTTTGACCCACCCTGGCCCTCACTTACCTGTCCAGCCACCTCTCCCCTGTGAGGGAAACCACAACTATGACAACCACACCCTACTATTCCGCATGAGCTAAGCACTGTCCCCTCCAAGTCTTTGCTCACTTGTGCCTCCTGCGGAATGCCTTCTCCCCAAACTTACCTGATGGAAATCCACTTTGCATGCCAGGTCTTTTTGGGGTCCTTTCTCCCACTGAGCTATCATTATGCCGGGTTGCCTCCCCACCTGGACTTTGGAGCTCCAGGAAAACTGGGCCAGGTCCAATGCACATTGGCCCTCCAGGGCCCAGTGCAGAGCCTGGCAAGGAGCAGGTGCTCAACAGACATGCCCCGTATCCAAGAGAGACTTTGGTTCCGAGCTGGCACAGTCCTGCCCCAGGGTGGCTCGTTCTTGGTGACTCCATCCCCCACTCCAGGCAGACTGACCAGGAAGGAAACTGGCCAGGTCAGAGGACAGCACCAGGTTTGGCTGCTTTCTTCCCCCCGCCCAGGTTCAATTTCCAAGATTTTCCACCTTGGAGGTTGGTGGAAGGAGCAGAGGGAAGGAGTGGGGGGGAGGTGGGCGGTAAGAAGAGAGAGGCGGCTAAGCCTTTTCCATGAAGGAAGAGGGCCCAGGAGCCTGACAGACCCCAGGGACAGCAACAAGGAGCAGAAGGGGGAGGCCTGCTGCCTGCCTGCCCTCCCCCCAGCACACACACCATGTGGGGTGTGGGGCTTACAGCTGCCTTCTCTCCTGCCCTAATTAGCAGTTGCCCACCCCCCCCGCCATTGTCCCAGGCCAGCGCCCCAGCCAAGGCCTCTTTTGTGCTCCCAGATTCCTGGGTGCAAGGTGGCCTCATTAGTGCCGGGAGACCGGCCCATCTCCAGGGAGCAGGCGGATGGACAAGGGGGGCACCAGGGGCACAATGATCAAACTCCCGCTTCTGAGAGCCTTGGCGGCCATTCTTTGGGTCCAACCTGGAGACGGCCCCCCTGCAGGAGGCTAATCTTAGACTTGCCTTTGTTTGGCCCCAGAGTGGACGCAAGTACCCGTCTGTCCCCCACCACCTCAGAGCACTATAAACCCGGGGCCCTTGATTGGGGGTCACAGTCAACGGCCTCAGAGTTCCTGGCTGTTCGGACCACTGCAGACACCTTTCCTGGCTACCCTACTCTGAGCTTCAGACACCATGAACCCTCCCTCTACAAAGGTAAAGACCTGGGAAGAGAGGGGTGATTCATCATACCAGATGGGCAATGAGAATGCTTGCTCCAGGGGCTTGCGGGGGCTGGAAAGAAGGCTGAGGTGTCTCTGCTCTTGGTCTTTTCCCATGTGGGCTCTGAGGCAGGGGACTGGGTGGAGCCTAAGGGCAGAGCCGGCCTGGGCTAGCCTGGGACTGAGCGCCTTCTCCTGAGACCTCGGGGCTGTGTTTGCACCTGTCTCGCGTCCCCCTCCTGAAACCTGCCCTGTAGGAATTATTTAATACCCGTTCAGAAGGGACGAAGGTGTGCCCCCTGAGAGGGTAGGAAACAGGTCCGAAGCGACAGAGTGCAGTTTCCCCGGCAAGGGAGCAGGCCGACAAGACAACTTGGAACCTGCCAGTCCTTGATTTGCACGTGTTTGTCCGGGGAGGGACTATACAGGGCCTCTGTTTCCCTGAGTGAACAAACTTCTGGTGCAGACAGACTCACACACCCTGTTTTCAGGTGGAGTGGTAAGCGCTTTAATGGGGGTACGAGGGACTAAGGGTACCCAGAAAAGAGGGATTCACCTTGCCCAGGGGGAACTCAAAGGGCTTCCTGGAGGAGATGCTGTGCTGGGGCTTGAGCAGGTAAAGGAACCAGAGAGGAGCCCTGCTACAGAGGCAGCAATGCGCAGCGGCCCGGAAACTGGCGGACCGCGAGGTAGGCGCGCAGGCGGGGAGGGGGCGCGGAGCCAGCTGGGCGGGGCCTGGGCGTAGGGGCCGGAGGCGGGCGCGGCGGGAAGACCCCCAGCACCTGGCCTCCTGTCTCCCTAGGTCCCCTGGGCCGCCGTGACGCTGCTGCTGCTGCTGCTGGTGCTGCCGCCCGCGCTGCTGTCGCCCGGGGCGGCCGCGCAGCCCCTGCCGGACTGCTGCCGCCAGAAGACGTGCTCCTGCCGCCTCTACGAGCTGCTGCACGGCGCAGGCAACCACGCGGCCGGCATCCTCACCCTGGGCAAGCGGCGGCCCGGGCCCCCCGGCCTCCAGGGCCGGCTGCAGCGCCTCCTGCAGGCCAGCGGCAACCATGCGGCCGGCATCCTCACTATGGGCCGCCGCGCAGGCGCGGAGCCAGCGCCGCGCCCCTGCCCCGGGCGCCGATGTCCCGCGGCCGCTGCCGCCCCGTCTGCAGCGCCTGGAGGGCGATCCGGAGTCTGAGCCCTTGATCTTGCCCAGTTCTGGCCCTGCCCTCTCCTCCTTGTCCGCCCGGTGTCAGCCCTCAGAAAAAGGGCAATAAAGACGAGTCTCTTAATGTGGCCGGTCTCTGTTCTGTGTGGTCGCATCCCGTCCTGCAGGGGGCGTGAGAGTCCTTCGAACTATAAAGAGCCCGAGTGCCTAGAAGCCGGGCGCTTGGGCACCTCGGCTCTGGCGTCTTGGAACTCGCAACACAGAGCAAGGAATTGTGAGAAGAGGCCCCGCGGCAAGGAGAGAACATGTGCATGCTTGGAGGGGAGGATGGGGGACAGACAAGTCTCTCGATGCTCTACTAATCATTCTGTATCTCGGCCTTTACAGACAGACAGGGAAGGGAAGGAGAGCAAGGAAGTTTGCACAGAGGAGCGCAGTCTGGCTGGGACGGGATAGGAGCCGAGCTTGCCCAAAAGGGCAAGAATATAAGGTTCCACATGAATCTTCCAGAATGGCTGCTGCATGGGGGTTGACAGTGTGGGGAGCGGTGGGGCGTCGGAGGGGGAGGCTGTCAGTTTCCTGCAGCCTGGATTTTGAAGGCCCTCGCAAATCATCAAGCTTTACATTTCATTCTGTAGGTACCTGGGAGTCAGAAGTTCTTAATCAGAGATGGGGCAAGATTTTCCTGCAACTTTAGCTGAATGCACCCTCCACCCCCAATTCATACGTTGAAGTCCTAACCCCCAGCATTTCATAAGATGGCCTTATGTAGAAATAGAGTGATTGTACATGTAAATAAGATGAAGTCGTACTGGAGGAGAGTGGACCTCTAATCTGATATAAGTAGTGTCCTTATAAAAAGGGGGAATTTGGACGCACAGAAACGCACACAGGGAAAAACCATGTGAACATAAAGACAGAGGCCGGGTGATGCATCTATAAGCCAAGGAACACCAAAGATTTTCAGCAACCCACCAGAAGCTAGAAGGCAGGCATGGAACAGATTCTCCTTCACAGCTTTCAGAGGAAACCAACCCTACCTCCTCTTGATCTTGAACTTCTATCCTCCAGAACTGAGACAATAAATTTCTGTTGTTTAAGCCAGTTTGTGGTTCTTTGTTTAATAGCCCCAGGAAACTAATAAAACACCAAAAGTAGAGACACAGAAGGATGTGGCACTTTTAAGCAATCTAACAGCCTAGATAATACCCAGCTCAGACTCTGGGGGTGAGGATGAGGAGCACCGGCCTGAGATGAGTACCACCCTATCTTCCCATTCTCACTGGCTTTAGCTGCTTCGTTCTGGGAAGCAGCCACTCTAAGCCACCACATTCATCTGCCCCCGTAATTTTCTGCTTTTGTAGTGAAAATATCCCATGTCTGGTGTTACTAGTTCCATCTTGGAAAAGATGGAGATCAAAGACTGGGCACCTGGGTGGCTCAGTCGGTTAAGCCTCTGCCTTCAGCTCAGGCCCTGATCCCAGGGTCCTGGGATCGAGTCCCACATCGGCTCCCTGCTCAGCAGGGAGTCTGCTTCTCCCTCTGCCTCTGCCCCTCTCCCTGCTCATGCACTCTCATTCTCTGTCAAATAAATAAAATCTTAAAACAAAACAAAGACCGTCAGTACACCTTTGGAGATGTGCAAACTGACTCTGCCCACCTTGAAACTATCTTTCTTGTCCCCCAGCTTGCCTCCAGCCTCTTTCCCCACTCGAATGGCAGCAGCGAGAAGGAGGGTTAAATCAAGACTACAGGAAGAGAGAAATTGCTCTCCAGCACACTTACTGTGTACCAAAAACATGCATGATGCTATTAAATTCTCACAACCGCATGAGGTGAAAATTATTAGCTCTATTTTACAGATAGGGAAAGTGAGGCTTTAAGAGGCTAAGTCACACAATCAGTGAGTAGCAGAACTGGCATTCTACCCCATGGACTCCAAAGCTCTTTTCATCCACCCGGCTGCACTCTGAGGCAGAACTCGCTAGGGTGCCCTATCCAAAGTGAGGCACGATTGAGGGTTAACCCATTCTAGAAGTTGAATTCCCAGCCTTCCTGCCGATCCTCCCACCAGCAAAACTAGTCTCTTTGACCCTTACTGTCACATACTGGAGCGCAGGAAACTGGGGTGCTGCGAAATATCCCAAGGCCAGCAGGCGGCACTGTGAACCAAACACCATTCCCAGCGTGGGCGGCGCGCGGGGAAACCCGCAAGGCGGAGCCACAAGGAGTCGCCGCGGAACCACGCGTGGGGGCGTGGCCACTCCGGGAAGAGGGCGTGTCTACTACTCAAACCCCGCCCCACCCCTTGGTCTCGGCTCCAGGTGGGCGTGTCCCGAATTCTCTCTGCGAGAGACACGCGTGGGCCGCTCCCCTCTGGGAGGAGGGCCGCGGAGAAGGATGAGGGTGTCGCTGGCGGCCCCTCCCCGTGCGGGCCACGTGGCGGGCGCGGGCCGAGCCCGGGGGAAAGAACTTGGCCCGTGGGGAGGTGGGGGGACCGAGGCGGCGCCAAGCTGAGCCGAGAGCTGCGGGATTCAGAGCAGAGAGGCAGCGGCGGCGGCGGCGCCGAGAGGAGGGGAGGAGGCAGGCGGGCGCATGGGGCGCCCCGGCCCCGCCGGCAGCGCGCCCCCTCCCTCCCCGCCGCGCTGAACGCCCCCCAGCGCCGCGCCTCAAACCCCAGCCCCGAGGCCATGCCGGTCATGAAGGGGTTGCTGGCCCCGCAAAACACCTTTCTGGACACCATCGCCACCCGCTTCGACGGCACGCGTGAGTGGGGCGAGGCTGGGGCTGGGTGTTCGATCTGGGGCCAAGTCGGCTTCGGCGCCGGCGCGGGTATACTGGATGTGGTGAGACCCGAGGCCGAAAGAGTGGAGTTGACCGTCTAGGAACTCCCGAAGCCGCGGGAAAGGAACAGGACTGGGAGTGCACTGCGAAGGGAGGCGGGAAAAGGGCCAAGAGTGCGGGGGGCCAAGGTTAGGGGTGTGACTGGAGTCAGGAAAGGCTCTTTGAGCCGCAAAACGGAGGAGAGGCCTTGGCAGCCGCCCGCTCCCAGGCAGAGCTCTGTTGGGAGCGTGTGTGGGGATATTCGAGACGCAGAGGTGGGACGAAGTGGTCAGGCGCTCTGGAGTCTACTTCCAGAAGGCTCCAGCATCTCCTTCCCCCAGAAAAAAAAAAGAAAGAAAGAAAGAAAAAGAAAAAAGAAAGAAAGAAAAAGATCAGACTTCGGCAGCACCTAGCTTGGATTAAGGTCAAGCGCCCCCAAATCTTGGCGCCTTTGTGTCTGAGGGAGGTGAGGCAGGCGTAGGGGGGTGGTCCGTGTGACGGAGGGAACTCTCTGCTCGCCCACCCCCAGTTTGGATTCCAGGTTCAGCACCTTGGACAGCCACACTCCTCCTTCCCAGCCTCTTCTCCCGCCTTTCTTTCCCTACTTTGGAGCAGAGAGATCTCCCCCTGCCCCCTTCGGGCACCCTGACCAGTATCTGGAAAGTGGGGGGAGCGATACCCGCGGGCGGAAACCGAGCCGCCGGAGCCCTAGCCGCCTCCCCACTCTCCCCCCACAGACACCTCCCTTGTTTCCATAGCTCCCATCACCGGGGCAACGGGCCCTGGGATGGAAGAAGGAGGCTGCTGCCCAGGGCCCAGAGCTTCCCAGGCACCTTCAGTCCCCATCAGCCTCTCCACCCCCACATACTCACCCCTCTTAGCACCCAGCACTGGTTGTGTCTCAGGCCCCTTCCCTCAGCTGAGATTGCCCCTGGATGGCCCACAGAGCCCCCCTGTGGCTTCCACCCATTGGAGCCAGAGGAAGCCAACTCAGCTTCTACTCCTGGGGTTGCTGGATTAAAAACTTCCTTGCCCAGTATGCTGTCAGACTTTGAGCACTGGGACAGACCCCCTGAAATTACCTAAAGAGATGCTAAAAAGAAGACCTTTCCTGGAAGGCAGAGAATGAGGACTCTACTAATCACTGTCTCCCTCCCCCAACAGAGGAGATTTGTGAGTTTGTATAATATCCGTCTTCTGGTGTCCTATCAATAAAATGGGTGTGATGTCACCAGAATCTCTGCCCTGTCTACTCTCTAATAGGAGGACCGGATAGCGGCTATGCATGTGTTTTGAAAGCTGTGGGAACGTGGGGGAGTCGTTTTTAACTTCTCAGTATAGCACTTAGTATGTGCCAGGCTTTGTTCTCCCCAGGTAACTCACTTTCACAAACAGTCATGTGAGGAAGATATATTATGCCCCACTTTGCAGATAAGAAAGCTGAGGCACAGAAGAGCTCATTAACCCTTGTCCAAGGTTACAGTGGGAAAGTGGCAGAGGTGTCATTCTGGAGTCCATGCCCTTACTACTATAGCTCCCCTATAATAGCTCACCAGCTTGAAGGCAGGGGGAAGGACCGCATGACCTTCTTCAACCCCCCACTGGTCCCTGTCCCGCTTCTAGGCCATCCTTAAGTCCTTGTCCTTTTGCTCTGTCTCTTCTTACTCTCATTTCAGAATAGCCCAAAGGGGATCCAGGAATCACATGGAAGCCTGGGAACCTTCTGGCTCTGTGACCCCTGACCACAGCTTGGGGGAGGTACTGCCCACCTTGAAGCTAAGCTCCCCTCCTGGCCTCGACCTAACCTTGACCTCTTCTTCCCACAGACAGCAACTTCCTGCTGGCCAACGCACAGGGCCCACGGGGCTTTCCCATTGTCTACTGCTCTGACGGATTCTGCGAGCTCACAGGCTACGGCCGCACTGAGGTCATGCAGAAAACCTGCAGCTGCCGTTTCCTCTATGGTCCAGAGACCAGTGAGCCAGCCCTGCAGAGGCTGCACAAGGCCCTGGAGGGTCATCAGGAGCACCGGGCTGAGATCTGCTTCTACCGAAAGGATGGTAAGGGGGCCTGGCCCGCCCTGCAGGCCTGCGCAGATCCTGGGCCATACGCAGAGTCCACCTCGCACAGTGGAAGCCTGAGTGCTGGTCCCCACACTGCCACAAGCTGACTATGACACTTAGTGCATCCCTGATCCTCTCTAGGCCTTGCTTCTCCAATCGGGAAGGGAAGGAGTCAGCTGACATAATCTCTGGGGTTCTTTCCATCTCTAAACCTTTGCCAAGCCCTTTGACCATGCCCAAGAACCTTGGGTGATCAAGGGGAAAGGGGTGTCATGGGCTGCTCACCCTCTCCTTCCGTCTCTCCACATCTACAGGCTCGGCCTTTTGGTGCCTCTTGGACATGATGCCCATCAAGAATGAGATGGGAGAAGTCGTGCTTTTCCTCTTTTCCTTCAAGGACATCACTCAGAGTGGAGGCCCAGGAGTTGGCTCCCCAGGAGGCCACGGGGACAGTAATCATGGTAACTGCAGGTCTGGGGAGGAAGCATGAATGGTCAGAGGTTCTTGCTGAAGGTCACACAAGACATCTCCTTACCCAGTCTCATGGGATGTGCCCCCACTTATCTCTGCACCCTTCTTCCCAACAGAAAACTCACTTAGCAGGAGGGGAGCCGGCTCAAGACTCCGATCTGCCAGGAGGCAGAGCCGTACTGTCCTACACCGGCTGACTGGCCACTTTGGCCGCCGACGCCAGGGAGGCATGAAAACCAATAATGTGAGTCCTATCTCCACCCCAACATCTCCCAGCTGTGATTCTGAGGCGCCCTTGCTAATGTCTCCCTGTCTGTCTGATCTCCCTCCGGTGGCTTGTTCCTCTGTCCACCCATTTCTTATGTGCGACTCTCTGTTTTGTCCCATGTGCCTTCACATCTTCTTCCAACCCCATCTCCCTTGCTTCCTTATGATTGACATTACTTTACTCTGACAATGTCATAAGGGCAGGGATCTAGCAGCAATTACATCACCTACCTCTGAATGATAGTGTTACCTCATGGGGGGGTGAAATCACAAACCGTGGTTCTAGGGAGAAAGCCCCCATTAGGGTCCTGGTACCCAGCCCTAGGACCCTGATAAAGCCACGGGATCAATTCTCCAACTCTCTGTGTAGTTTGTGGGGGCTACAGGGAATGGGATGTGCTGTGCCAGCCTCCCTTCATCTCTGGGATATCCCCATCCCCCACAGGGACCCCAGATTCCAAGCAAAACTTGAGGGAGAAGTTAGTGACCCCTGGGTGGGTGAGGTCTAAGGCATGTGCCTGATTTGTCATAATCTCCTTCTCAAGCAGGGTGAAGGTCAAGCCTTGTAAATACCTCCCACAAAACATGATTGATCAAAAGGGGGCCCGAGCAGTAGATTGGCAGAGGAAGGAAGTGTCAGGCGCCAACCCATGAACCCCTTTCCCGCACCTTCTATCTCCTCTTGTGGTCATGCCTGCAGCGTCCACTCCCCCCCTTCCCCCTCCCCTGCCTCTCCCTTCCCTAAGCTTTGGCTCCCCTTTCCCTTAAATGTCCCCAACTGCCACCCCTCTCCCCCTAGAACGTGTTTGAGCCAAAGCCATCAGTGCCCGAGTACAAGGTGGCCTCCGTGGGGGGGTCCCGCTGCCTCCTCCTCCACTACAGCGTCCCCAAGGCCGTGTGGGACGGCCTCATCCTCCTCGCCACCTTCTACGTTGCGGTCACCGTCCCCTACAATGTCTGCTTCTTGGGCGATGATGACACCCCCATCACTTCCCGACACACCCTTGTCAGCGACATCGCCGTGGAGATGCTCTTCATCCTGGGTCAGACCCTCTGCCCCACATAACTTGGCGGGTGGGCTGGGGGAACCCACTCATCCAAGCTTCGCTCCATCCTGAGCCCGCGGGACCCAGGCATTCAGAGCCCAACCATTTCTGGGTCTTTAAGTCCTAATGGTCCAAATGCCCCGAGCCTCGAGCCCTTCAGCCTTTAGACCACTCCTCCCTAAAGAGCAGCCAGAAGCCCAGTCTGTCTTCCTCATTCCTGCCTCCAACTCCATTCTGGGTCTCAGGCTTATTCCCAGCTTACTCAGTTCCTTGGTAAGCCTAGTAACGAAGCCCGCTAGTAACAGCCTCTTGCACCCCCAGATATCATCCTGAACTTCCGCACCACCTATGTGTCCCAGTCCGGCCAGGTGGTCTCTGCTCCTCGTTCCATTGGCCTTCACTACCTGGCCACCTGGTTCTTTGTTGACCTTATTGCTGCTCTGCCATTTGACCTGCTTTATGTCTTCAACATCACCGTGGTGAGTGACCCCTGTCCCACCCGGCAGCCCAGCCTCCCAAATTCAGCGCAGCATCTCGCACTAAGGGAACCCCAACCCAGACTCAGCCCTTCCCATCCATCCATCTGCAAGTAGTCGTCAGGCCCCTGCTGTGGGCCGAGCCCCATGCTAGCTGCTCAGAAGGAGCTGGGAGGGTCTGTGCTCTCGGGGAGCTCAGCTCACAATCACTGAGGGAAGCTGAAACAAATGAAAAGCTAACTAGGGCTACCAAGGCGGCGTTGGTCTGATGCCAAATGAGTGGTACTTTTCACATTTTTATTTAACAAACAACTGATGAGCATTTAGCTGTCTGCAAAGCACTGTGTGGAGCATGGTCACTGTGGGGGAAAGGGACAAGGATTCAGCCTCCAGGCAGCTAAGCTGGTGAGGGGGCAGGACTGTTGGAGGGGACAGCAGGAACAGAAGAGGTGAATGGAGAGGAAGATGGGGCCCAGGTATTGCCAGGGGCTGGGCACGGAGCTAGCTGATCTTGGAGTTTCAGGCAGGAAAGTGGGCATGCATGAAAATGATCTGATGATCTGAAATCTAGCCAGTGCCTGGGAGGCCAAGGCGCCCCAGCTGGGACAAAGGCCCAGGTGGTCTGGGAAGGACTCCTGCAGGAGATAGAGCAGAGCTAGACCCTAGAACAGAGAGCAGGATTTGGCTGACAGGGGATGGGGAGAGAGCATCTGGGGGGAGCATAGTAAGCCAAGACACGGAGGTGGAGGCTGTGGGGTGGGTTTGGAGGCAGAGAGTGCCAGGGCCTGGGTCCTCCCATCTCCCCGGGGACTGTCTGGAGGTGCCTTGGGTGGTCAGCTCTGCAGCCAGCCAGCAGATAGCAGGTGCTCTCTCAAGTCCAGGGTGAGGGAGTCCCACCCTGTGTCCCCAGACTCCCTTGGCTGTTGGGTGGGGAGGTGGAGAGCAGTTTCCCTGTGCGCTCCGCTCTCTGCCACACTCAGCTATAGCAGGAAACCACCTACACGCAGCCGGATTTAACTAGCCGCCGACGGGCTGTGGGCCTCTTCTCCTGCTCCTGGCTGCGCACACGGGTGTGCACGCTCCCACACACGTGCCTGTGTGTGTGTCTGCCCTGAGCTCCGGCCACGCTGAGCAGAGCTACCCACCCCTCCCTGTGAGCGCACTCTCCCATCCCATGCCTCCCAGGCTGTGTCAGCAGGCAGACAGCTGTCCCTGGGGAGAGGGAGAGCTGCAGAGAGGCCCCTGTCCCTCCTCCCAAGCGGTCCCGCTCCTCTGGTACCTTCAGGGCCACCTTTCACTTACTAAGTCCTTTCATGCACATCATCTTATTTGAGTCTCACAGTAACCCCTCTGGGCAAATTCTCTTTTTCAGAGGTAGACGCAAAGGCTCAGAGAGGTTAAGCAGCTTGCCACAGGTCACAGAGCTAGAAGTAGCAGGCAGGAGATTGGAACCAGGTCTCCAGACTCCTAGTCTATCCCTCCTTCCACCACACCACCCTGCTTCCCAGGAACGCAAGGCCCCCGAGTGGATGAGGTGGCACAAGGGGAGATGAGGAGCAGTGCTGGGCTGGAGGAAGGCAGAGCAAAGATAGAGGATGAGTAGACATGGAGAGAGCTGTGGACTGAAAGGAGCCAGGCCTGGGACATTCTGGTCCAAGGAGAAGGAGAGGAGGGCCCCAAGAGAGTGAGGCGCAGGGGCAGCCCTGAAGGATTCAAGTCTGGAGGCAGAAACTCTGGGAGCTGGGGGCAGGCGTTAAGCCCTGGAGACGGTCCATGTGGAGGAAGCAGGGCCACCTCCTTTCCAGCTCCTTCACCTAAAATTAGAGAAAAGGACAGGAGGTGGCTCAGGAGCCGTGTAGGGCCAAGACTACGGGGGATGATGCTAGAGGCTTCCGGAAGGGCCTTCATATTAAGTTCCCCAGGCCCTGCCCCAGAGCCCCCAGCCCTGGCTTCCAAGCTGCCCCACCCAGAGTACCTGCTCCTCTTCTCTAAAATTCAGAGGGCTAACTGAAGCATTAATGACCACAGTGAAAACAGGTCAGAGTGGTATTTTTGGTAACACTTACAGGATGCTTACGAGGTACCACTAGCTCCATCAGCCCCCACCCAGCCCCATAGGGGCTAAGACCTCAAAGCCCAGCGCTGAGGCTCCCTCAGTTCCTGGTCTCCTTCCCTCAACATTCCAGCATGCCCCCCTCATCTGCAGCTGACCCACCCTGAGAACAGCCCCTAAACTTCCCCAGTCCCCAGGCCTCTTGTCTGGTCCCACTCTCCCTTGCTTCTCTGTGTCTCGAGGGATGGCTCCCTTCACAGATGCTGTCGTCGCCGACAACCAGCTCTCGCCCACAGTTGATTGTGCCTAGGACTTTGGGGGTGTCAAGCAGGGACCAGAGATCACTCCTTACCTCTGACCAGGACTTGCTTTTTCACCAGCCTACGGTGCTAGAGGCAGCACAGCACAAAATGGACTTGGGTAGCTGCTCAGAGGGAAGTCCCAGCTCCATCGTTTCCTCGGTGTGTGACCTTGAGCAAATCACTAGCCTCTCTGAGCCTTAGTTTACCCATCTGCAAACTGGGAACAGTGATGATAATTGAACTGAAGGCGTGAGTTTTTTCATGAGGATTATAAATGCTTAGCCCAGTGCCTGACGCACAGAGCGAGTACTTATATAAGTAAGCCAGTCCCCGCCGAGTAAGTGTTAGCCTTTATTAGCGTTGGTATTATTCTCTCCCTGCTGCATTCCCTGGTCACTTTCTCAGGACAGCAGGGCCGTTGTTCCTGCTGCAGCTTCCCCTGGCTCCCGGGCATCTGGTGACAAGGCGCTGGGAGGGGCCCTGGGGGCTCCGAGGAGGTGGGCCCGCTGACAGCCTCCCCCGCCGTGCTCCCGCAGACTTCGCTGGTGCACCTGCTGAAGACCGTGCGGCTGCTGCGGCTGCTGCGGCTGCTGCAGAAGCTGGAGCGTTACTCACAGTGCAGCGCTGTGGTGCTCACACTGCTCATGTCCGTCTTCGCACTCCTCGCCCACTGGATGGCCTGCGTCTGGTATGTCATCGGCCGCCGGGAGATGGAGGCCAATGACCCGCTGCTCTGGGACATCGGTGAGCCACCGGCGCCAGGCTTCCACTGACACCCATCTGCCTGCCCTGTCCACACTGGCCCCCAAGCGGATGCCTCCCCCGGCACCACCCCCACCAGCCCACGTTCTTCCCTCCATCCAACAAACGTGCATTGAGCTCCTTCCCGGTCAGGCGTGGGAGTACTGAGTTGAAGACCAGGGGTGGGACCGGGTGACCTCACAGCCTAGCAGGGGAGCCAGACCAGTGACAGGCAATCAAAACAGTACAGGAAACACTCTGATGGTGGGGAGGGTGTTTGGGGCAGAGGGAGCAGTACCCAGCCTGGACCCTGTCAGGGGCTCCGCAATGCCCTCAAAATCAAGTCCGCACTTGGTCCACACCCTGCATAGCCCTGCAGCCTTCTCTCTCCCCACCTGGCTTCCCTTTCTCCCCTGCGCCCTCTGCTGCGGCCACACTGGCCTCCTTCCACCCCCTGGGCTGTACTGCTTTCTCACAACGGCCTTGAACATGTTTTCCTCTCAGGAATCCTCTCCCTCCCTTCTTCCCCTAGGTGACTTTTCTATTCCTTGCAATCTCCACTAAAACCCTCTGTCCTAAGGGAGCCCTTCAGGAACCACACCCCCCCCAACTGGGTTGGCTCTCCCTAGCCAATTATGGCTCCTGGACGCCCTATACTTCCCTTTGAGTAGCTCACTGCCCACCTGCAATTTATTTCATGTGTCTTTCCCCTCCAGACTCTTAAGTTCCACCAGGGCAGGGAGAATGTCTGGCGGGTCAAGTGCCAGCACCCTGTACACAAGGGGTGCTCAATAAGCTATTAGAGAGCCCCCCCTTCAAACAGTCAGCAGCTCAGCAGCTTAGCCTTGGTTACTGCAACTGTAACCAGTTCACTGTGGGGAGTCCCAGGCCCAGGCTGCTCCTCACATTTCCTGTGCCTGTGGGTGCAAACCTCCCCTCGCCTCTGTAAATACTTGCCCAAGGTCAAGCGCAGGCAGCTCAGGGAAAGCCAGCTCTACCCCACCCCACCCCCCCAATGCAGCTGCTCCTTGCCTCCCTCCACCCCGCAGGCTGGTTGCACGAGCTGGGCAAGCGGCTGGAGGAGCCCTACGTCAACGGCTCTGCGGGCGGCCCGTCGCGACGCAGCGCCTACATCGCTGCCCTCTACTTCACGCTGAGCAGCCTCACCAGCGTGGGCTTCGGCAACGTGTGTGCCAACACCGACGCGGAGAAGATCTTCTCCATCTGCACCATGCTCATAGGCGGTGAGGCCGGGCCTGCCAAGCCCCGGGGTGGCCCTGCTAAGCCCAGCGCGCAGCTGGGGAAACGGGCTCAGAGAAGGCAAGCTGTCCACCCACGTCCAGACAGTTGTTCATTCATTCATTCATAGCCGTTTCCTCAGCACCTACTACATGCTGGCCCTGGGGGGCATGCCACACAAAAGGCGTAGCCTCTTGCGAAGGGGGTGGGAAACCCAAGTTCATGACCTGGGGGGGAGGGGCAGGAGAGGAGCATCAGGTCTGGCCCCTCCCTGCCCCCCCTTACCCAAGCCTACTGGCTCTCCTGCCCCTCCTTCCCCGGGAACCCAGAGCCGCGGAGGGCGCGGGAGGAGGTGGGGCGGGGGGGGGCGCCCCTCACGGGCTGCCCGCTGCCGCCGCTGCAGCGCTGATGCACGCCGTGGTGTTCGGGAACGTGACGGCCATCATCCAGCGCATGTACTCGCGCCGCTCGCTCTACCACAGCCGCATGAAGGACCTCAAGGACTTCATCCGCGTGCACCGCCTGCCGCGGCCGCTCAAGCAGCGCATGCTCGAGTCCTTCCAGACCACGTGGGCCGTCAACAGCGGCATCGACGCCAACGAGGTAGTGCCGTGGGGAAGGAGTGGCGGCCGACGGGGCCCCGGGAGGCGAGGACGGGCTCGCGGGGGCGCGCACCCACCCAAATCCACATCCCTTCCCCTTTGCGCTAGAATACGGGAGCTGAAAGGGAGCTCAGGCCTCAGCTAATGCCATCCTCCCCTCAGCCCGCATTTCCTGAGCACTTGCTGTGGGCCAGCCTCTGTGCTGGACACAGGGAGTTCAGAGATGATGACACTCAGCCCTTGTCCTCAGGGAGACACCAGTTGGGTGAGGGAGGCGGGCAGGTAAAAGAAATAATTACGCAGTGATTGGGACTCTGCTGGAGGGAGGCCTGGAGGAGTCAGGGAAGGTGGCACAGAAGAGGGGACGTTGTGAAGGGCAAGAAGGAAATCAGCCTGCTACCAGAGGCCATTCCAGGCAGAAAGAGCATTATTAGGAACAGAGGTCCGGAAACGTTGACGTAAAAAAGCAGGGCGAGTTCAGGGAACTGAAAGTCCTTCAGTGAGCCTTCAGGAACGGGTGTGTGAGTGCTGTGGAGGGAGGAGGGAGACAGGAGTGCAAGAGACAGGCCTGGGGAGGCGGGCCAGCCCAGCTCATGGACAGTCTTGAATTTAGATTTTAGCCTGCAAAACTTTTAGGCTGGTGAGTGGCCTGGGGCTCTAGGAGGTGTTTCTGAGAATAGGAGCCATGGGACCCGGTGCTCAGCTGGTTGCAGGAGAGGAGCTCAGAATGAGTCCCAGGTTCCTGGTTTGGGCAAAGGGGTGTGATGGAGGCATCGCAGGAGGAAAGTTGGACTTTGGGGTGAAAATGACCAGGATGACGGTGTGGTGCTTGTGGGAGATCCAGGTGGAGGCTGCTCCATGGGTAGATGAAAACACAGGTCTAGATCCATATGCAGGGCTCCGGGCTCACCAGGAGTAGGGAAGTCATGGAGCTGGTTGCCATGATGCAGGAAGAGTATGGAAAGTTACAAGAGGAACCTGGGGAGGAAATGGGGGAGAGGGAGAGGTGAGCAAGCCAGAGTGGTCTAGGGTCTCCATAAGATGAGGTTGGCGCTGTGAACGTTAAGTTTGGTTCCTTGAAAGTCATTGGTAATGTTCAAGGCCTAGTGTAACCCTGCATCTTTACAGATGAGGATACAGAAGCCCAGAGAGAGCAAATGGATTGCCCAAGGTCCACAGGGATTTAGGGGCAGAGCTGACTTCTAGTTTCCTGCCTCTAGATTGAAAGGCTGACCCACCAGGGCTGGTCCTTGTGTGGGGTTGAGCAACCAGGACATGTGAGTGACCACTGCACATAGTCATGGGCAGTGGACAGACAAGAAGAGACCTAGTCTCTGCTCCAGAACTTGGGTTGGGAGGTCCACACACAAGCAAAATTGAGGTGTGACACACACGGGTCTTCCTGAAGGTCAGAAAGGGGTCACTTCGAAGCAAAGGGCAAGTTGGAGCTCTCCCCTTGGAGACAGCTCAGCACATTTGTAGAACTCAAGTAGCAGCTGTAGGGGGACGGCTGGAATGACCTATGCCCCTTATGCAGTTACTGCGTGACTTCCCAGACGAGCTGAGAGCTGACATCGCTATGCACCTGAATCGGGAGATCCTGCAGCTGCCGCTGTTCAGAGCGGCGAGCAGGGGCTGCCTGCGGGCCCTCTCCCTGCACATCAAGACCTCGTTCTGCGCTCCAGGCGAGTACCTGTTGCGCCGTGGGGACGCCCTGCAGGCACACTACTACGTCTGCTCCGGCTCGCTTGAGGTGCTTCGAGACAACATGGTGCTGGCCATCCTGGGTGAGGATCCCACCACCACCTACTACCTACCCCGGAACCTTGCCCCAGAGGCCTTCGGTGTGGCCAGGAATCTAGGGACTGGGATACCCCTAGTGGATATGTGGAATTCCTGCTGAGGAGTCCTCTTTCCTGGTTCCTTCACCCTACTACCATCCCCTTTCCACCATACCCTCGGACTCTCCCCTAATCCCATTGGCCATCAACCCATCAACCCTCCCCCAGTGACTCTCCCCCAACTCAATTGGTCCTTTCCCACTGCACCATCTCCCAACTCCATTGACCCTTCCCATTGACCTTTACCCTTTAACTGACCCCTCTGGCCATTCTTTACTGATCATCCAATTCCATTGATTATACTGACATCCCCCACTGACTGTCTCCCAACTTCATCTGTCATTCTCACTGACTTTTTCCCAACTCCATTGATTATTTCCACCAATCCTATTGATTGGTCCATCTTCGACCACACTTCAAACACACTGACCATCCGTCAAATCCATTGACCACCTCCCGCTGATATCCTCTTGGTCCCTCTGCCCCAGCTGACTGTCCCCATCCCTTACCCACAGGGAAGGGGGACCTGATTGGGGCAGATATCCCTGAGCCGGGGCAGGAGCCTGGGTCAGGGGCAGGCCCAAGCTACGTGCTGAAGACCAGCGCTGACGTGAAGGCACTGACCTACTGTGGCCTGCAGCAGCTGAGCAGCCGAGGGCTGGCTGAGGTCCTGAGGCTCTATCCTGAGTACGGGGCTGCCTTCCGGGCTGGCCTGCCCCGGGACCTCACCTTCAACCTGCGCCAGGGCTCTGACACCAATGTATGTAGACCCCCTATGGCCTCCATCTCCTCTAAGGTCCCCTCCTTCAGAGCAGACCGCCCCCCCCCCCGGCCCGAGAGAGAGCCTCACGCATCTCCTTCCACCCTGAGAAAATCGTTTCTCAATCCCAGGCACCCACTTCCATTGTCCCTTCCATGCTTGACATCTTCCATCCCCACCTGACCCTTCTCCATTGGCCATCACCCAACCCCATGGACCATCTCTCACCACTTGTACTTCCAACTCCTCTGACCCATCATGTCCTGTCAGCCACCCCTCAGCCTCACTCCAGACTCCTCAGAGGGCCCTCACTTTGGAAACAGTACCCCTCGTGGGCTCCTCCTCTGTCAAGTCCCTCTCTGAACTGGGGCATCATCCCCTGGGTTTCCTCTTCTGCACTCACCAAATATGTCCTGAGCCCATTTTGGCTTAGGCTCTGGGCCTTTGTCTTTCACCGCTTTTCGGATTGACTTTGCCACTCAGATGTCTCTGAGTTGGAGTTGGAGTTGGAGGGATCTCTGACTCAGTTCCACAGAAAGGCCCCCCATTCTCAAAGCCCACAGCTTTGATGGGTAGGACTAGGAAGTGCTGCAGCAGGGGAGGGGGGAGGTGTGAGTCACCTTGAACCCCCCTGTGTCCCCACAGGGCCTCAGCCGCTTTTCCCGGTCTCCTTGCCTTTCCCAGGTAACACCACCTTCCTGGGTAGGGTTGAGGTTACATGGGGGAGAGTCTGGGAGCTGGGGGCACCTTTCCTTGGCTCCTTTGCTGCGGGAGAAGGGAGGGGGATGGCGAGCAGCATCTGCCAGTGAAGGCTGTAGCTTAATGAAGGGGCCTATTGTTCACTGTCCTGACATCAGCCGCCCTCTGCCCACAGCCCCGCTCGGAAAGCCTCGGCTCCTCCTCAGACAAGACCCTGCCATCCATCACGGAGGCTGAGACTGGGGTGGAGTCTGGGGGTGGTTCTAGGCCCCGCCGGCCTCTCCTGCTGCCCAACCTCAGCCCAGCACGACCCCGGGGCTCCCTGGTCAGCCTCTTGGGCGAGGAGCTGCCCCCATTCTCAGCCCTTGTCTCCTCCCCTTCCCTGTCCCCAACCCCTTCCCCTGCCTTGGCTGGCCGGGGTCACAGGCCCTCCCCTCATGGCCCCCCCAGGGGCTCTGCTGCCTGGAAGCTCCCCCAGCTTCTCATTCCCCCACTGGGAACCTTTGGACCTCCGGACCTCAGTCCCCGGTGAGACGCCAGCCTCCCCTGCCTTCCCCATACCCCTGCTGGCTTCTAGAACCTTCTCTGGGCTCTGTCCCCAGCATTCCAACCAGTGCTCGTCCAGTGCTCGTCCTGTCTCTGCCCCATCTGCCCATCCGCCCTTCCTGATCCACCACACTTGCAACCCCACCCCTCTTTGACCACCGCTCCTCCCCATCTCCCTGGCACTGCTGTCCCCGGTTACCCTCTGCCTGCTCTGCTCTGGCCCTTGCCCTCTCCCCATGGGACTGATGATCACTGCCCCCATCCCAGGATAGTGGATGGCATCGAGGACTCTGGCAGCACAGCGGAGGCCCCTACATTTCGGTTCAGCAGGAGGCCTGAGCACCCTAGGCCCTGCTCACAGGCCCCTCCTTCAGGTAAGGGCCAGCCACAGACTTCACCTCTCAGTCATCCATTCATGCGCCATCCACCCATCCCTTCAGCCATCCATTCCACATGCAGTAAGGGCTGACCCTGTGCTGGGCTCTGTGCTGGGCGTACACAGATAAACCAGACCTGGCCTCCATCCTTAGTGAGCTCCCAATCCAGTGGGGGACACAACTGTGTCCTGGGATAAATGATTCCAGAACAGGGTGTTAAGTACCATGACTGAGACAAGAACAAGGCTTTGAGGTACGAGAAGAGGGCACCCCTAACTCTCCTTCGTAGAGGAGGGGACACTTGTGCTGGGTCTTAAAGGCTGGGCAGGAGTTTGAGGGGTGGAGCAAGGCAGTTGCTGGAAGCCATAAAGGCAGGAGAGAAGAGCATATTTTGTTTAGGTGCTAAAGAGAAGCTTCTGCGTATAGAGCTGGGGCAGGGGTAGAGGGAAGGGGGCAGGGAAAGTTATAGGGCCTTGAAACCAGCTTGAAGAGTCTGGGCTTCCCATCATCCTGATCCCAGAGCTCCCTCTCCCCTTGTTCTCTGCCTGCCCGGCAACAGGAGGGCACCCAGCCCAGGCTGTGGACTCCTGCCCCCCCCATTCACCCTGCATCCCTTCACCCCATTCTGCCTGCAGGTACCAGGCCCAGCCAGGAACTGGCCACTGAGGCTGAGGAGATGAAGGAAAAGGTCTGCAGGCTGAACCAGGAGGTGGGTGGGGACTGGCTCCTCCCCTCCAACCTTGGAAATTACCATCTTGGGAGATGTGCCTCATAGTAGAGCATTTCAGGTTTTAGACCCAGAGTCCTGAGTTCGCATATTCACACTAGCTGGGTGACCTTACGCAAGTCCCACAACAACCCTGAACTTCAATTTCCTCGTCTAAAAATGGGGAAAAGGATATGTTTTTTGCCAGAGTCGTTGAGAATGAGGTAAGAGCACACCCATGCCTGGCCAGTCCCTGGCCCACTGTAAGCACTCAGTGACCCCTTCTGCTCCTTCCCAGCTGCTTCAGGTCCTCCCGCCTGTGAAGAGAGCCTCTCCTCCCTCCACCACCGTGGGGTTCTCTCCTTTAGGGACCTACCCCCTACCAAGTCCTTTTCCTCACCCCAGCCCTGGGAAGTGGATGCTCAGTGAACGTAGGGGCCAGAGGATAGGGAGGGGGGAGGTCTTCAGCCCTGGGGGAGCTAGATCCTAGTGTCTGAAGCCTGGTCAGGAAGAGCCCAGATCTTATATGGCAAGGCTCTGCCTCCTCCCCGGGGATCTCTGAGCTGTCACCAGGGCACTGCCAGGCCCAACCCTTTGGGAGTGGGCCTTCCCTGGGTTCTGATAAACATAGGAAGCATCCCAGGAGGGCAGCCCCTGGGCTGGGTGGGCCCTGGGGATGCGGGCAGGACCAGGCCCCGGTTTAGCCAGCTGGAGGGCCAGTCCCACTTGGGTCACAGTTCTAGGCTTGGTGATTCCCACACTTGAGTGTCTGCCGGCACCATTAAGATGGGGACTCCTGAGCCTCACCCAATTTGGAATGTCTGGGGTGGGGCCCAGGAATCTGCATTCTGACAAGTTTCTCAGTTGATTCTGTACTCCCTGAAATTTGCAAAGCCCTGAATAGACACACTTGAGCGTGTGTGTTGGGATCACCTGAGACTAAGCCTGGGTCTGTCACCTCCAGCTTTGTGGCCTCTTTGAGGCCCATTTTTCTGCCTCTTATAAAAGTCGGGGAGGGGGGTGTTGCAATAGCCACAGTCCCAAATCCTTTTTGGAAAGAGGCTGAGTGTTTACATCTTGACAAAGATAACCCCTGCCCTGCCTGCCTTTTTCTCAGGCTGGGAAAGAGTTTTGTGAACTGTGTATGGGGGCTGCATTTAGGAGAGTGGTGGTTGTTGTGACACCTGGGGAACAATTTGTTATGTTTTCAACAGATCTCCCGTCTCAATCAGGAAGTGTCTCAGCTGAGCCGGGAGCTTCGACATATCATGGGCCTGCTACAGGCCAGGCTAGGTCCCCCGGGCCACCCAGTAGCCTCGGCTCGGCCCCCAGACCCTCCTGGTCCCCAGCTGAGGCCTCCGTGCATCTCTCCCTGTCTATCTGGACCACTGCCTAGCCTCCAGGATACTACTCTCGCTGAGGTCCACTGCCCGGCCAGTGTGGGGACAGCAGAGATGGGGGCCACGCCCCCCAACCTGAGACCCTCCGTGCTACCCCCCTACCCCTCAGAGCCTGAGTCTCTGGGACCCTCCCCAGTGCCAGAGGCCTCACCTCCGACCCCAAGCCTCATGCAGCAGAGCTTTCGGTCCAGGCCAGACGCGTTCCACTGACCCAGGCCCTGGGCCCAGGCCTGTCTGGGGTGGGCACTGCTGCCTGCCCTCCAGGGAGGGGCTGGGCCCCTTGGCCTCCTGCCTCAGGTCAGCAGCCACTAGCTGGTCTGGTTGGCTCTGCATTCTCTGGACTTTTTTACAAAGCCTGGTCACTTCTGACCCTGTTCCCTTTTCCAAACCTTCCCCTGCCCTTCCCCTCTGTGAGGGGAGCCACCTGAGGCTGTGGAACCCAACAGGCATGAGACGGAATGCAGTGCCGATTAGGCCGGGCAGATGACATGTCCTGCTTTCTCCCCAGGACCCGGAGGCAGGTAGATATGGGGGAGCATCGGGGGCTGGGGGAGGGTCCCAGATCCAGCGCAGGAAGTGAAGGCAGAGGCAAGAGCAGGAAGGATCTTGGTGTCTAAGACAAGAGGGACAGATTGCAGATTCCACTGCAGAGATAGCTTTGTGATATCGTGAGGCCTTCTGTCCCAGCCCCCTGTCCCCCGGGCTCTGCTGGAGACCTTGGAAGCAATGTCATCTTGAGAGGGATGAGGTTTGAGATGGCTGGCATCTGAGCAACCCAAGACTCCTTAGACCTCCCACTACCAGCCTGGGCTGGAGGGGCTCACCTCATCTCTCAGCCCACACAGGAAACAGATGATGACCCCCCAGATATGTATTCTTCTATTCTCACAGCTTTTTTTTTTTTTTTTTTCAAAATATGAATGAGTTGCCAGCACTAAAAATCAGGAGCGTTCACATAAATATCCAGATATTCCAGCTTCTCTTAAAAAAAAAAAATGTGGGGAGTTCTGGCAATCCTGGGCCAACATTCCACCTGGCAATAATCAACATGGTGTTGAGTGGCCATCGTCCTCTTGAGATGGGGCCTCTCGAGATCATCTGACACTGAGCTAGCTTCTCTCATTTGAATTCTTTGGTCTCTGTAGGTATTTGGGTTTGCAGTTCCTGCCTTAGAGTGTCCTCCCAGGTTCCTCTGTTCCAGCGGGTGCTTTTTGGGCCCAGCAATGTCTTTTTTTTTTTTTTTTAAGATTTTTAAATTTATTTATTTGACAGAGAGAGAGACAGCGAGAGAGAGAACACAAGCAGGGGGAGTGGGAGAGGGAGAAGCAGGCTTCCCGCCTGAGCAGGGAGCCTAATGCAGGGCTCGATCCCAGGACCCCGGGGTCATGACCCCAGCTGAAGGCAGACGCCCAATGACTGAGCCACCCCGGCACCCTGGGCCCAGCAATGTCTATTTCTACACCTGTGCCTGGGCCTGTCAACATCTCTGTTTCTGTCTTTCTGCAGGCTGTCCCTGAAGGTGGTCTCTTCTGCTGCCAGCAACTTGAAACAGTCCCCACAGCACTCTCTATCCCTCCCCCTGCACCAGACCTCAGTCAAGCCTGTTCTTCCCACATCCAACTAGGTCTCGCTCAAGGCCCTGACTTCTCACAAACCCACCCTGGTCTCCAGCTCTCCCTTACCACCCAACACCCAGGGCTCACTTTTGGATAGGAAATAAACGCTTTATTTTTGTAGTTGTTGGCTCTGGATGTTTCTGGGGGTTGGTCTGAGAGCCCCAGGGCTTTGGAGGAGCCTACAGGGCAGTCATTCCCCACCACACCCCAGGGCCCTGTTGTTGTCTCTAGGAAGGGCAAAGGCGCCAAGCAATCCACTTGGCACCACATTCACGCCACCAGAGGCCCCAGGGATGAGGTAGAAACCTTAATGAGTCACTGTGGGCCCGTTATACCCCGTCCTCCCCTTACCCATCACAGCCTCAGATTCAGACACAGTATGTGAGAGGGACAGAGTCCCGGCTCAGGCCCACCTCCAGCCCATGGGACTCCCCACTGATCCTGTATAATTGAACCTGTAACTGTTGCAGGCTAGGTACAGCAAGGGCTGGGGAAAAAGCTTGTCACTAGCCAAAAACCTCCTAGGAATTCCACTCGGTCCCGTCTCCTTTGCTCTCCTAAGTCTCTCTTCCCTCTTAGCTTTCACTTCTCAGATAATCACTGCAGGGGTGCAGGGGTGGGGAGATGGGGGTTACGGATATTGTTAGAAAGAAGCACCCTGGTGACTAGATGGAACTAGGTGTGGGCAGTTTTATGGCAGGCTGCCCCAGACAGGTTGATTCTCCAGCTCAGGCTCCAAAGTATGATTGTTGTTAGTGGGTGTCACAGGAACAACGTCCACAGCACTGAGGGCCTGAGCTTTGATTCCATATCAGGTTTTGAGTAGTGTTCCTGGGAGGGGGAAGCCAAGGCAGAGTAGATACCGGTCTGTGTTGGGGGATGGGAGTGGGCGGAAGCAGAAGTGGTCCTAATCCGTATTGAGGGAAGGAAAAAAACAGAAAAATAGAAATAGTCCTGATCCATATGGAGGTCAAGGTGGGGGAGGCAAACAGAAGTGGTTCTAATCTGTATTTATGGATGGGGAGAGCCAAAGCAGAAGTGGTCCGGCTCTGTTTTTGGCATCAGAGACAAGAGCTGGTTCTGTTTGGAGGTGGGGATGGCAGAGGTAGAGGTGATCCTGGTGTGTCTTGGTGTCCAGCCAAAGGAGGAGGGTCCTGGCTTAGGGCTGACAAGTGGCAGGAGCTCTCCTTTTGATCTCACCCAGTAGCCTCCAGAGAACCCTTCCTATAGCACTTCCATCACCTTCCCCGTTACAGAATGTCCCCCACAGTCGGGCTCCCCGAGCTGACTTGGCCCTAGAAAAGTGCAGACAGGGGCTTCTCCGGTTTAGCCAGTGCTCAGGACTGCGGCCTCATGTGCATATTCATTCACACCCTGTTCTTCCTTTTCCAATTCTGCACACACAGCCGTCTGCCCTCTTCCAGCGCTCCGCCACCCGCCTCCCCTCGGGGCTCCTGGAACCCAGGGTGACGCGCTTGGCAGGCCTGGCTTTAAAAAGTTCCCGGTCGGGCTCCGCCTCGCCGGCAGCCGGCTCCACCCTAAGTCTAAATCCCAGGCGGCCACTGGCTCCTCCCAGCTCTGTGAACTACAAGTCCCGCCGTCGCTCGCGCGCGCTCTCCCGCCTCGCCCGTGTCCCCCACAGGCGTCGACCGTGAGTCGGCCAAGAGTGCCTCCCATTGGTCTCTCGGCCCTGTCAGTCACCTGGGCGTATTGAGGGGCGGGTCTGAGGTGGAGATCCGGATCCGGAGCGGCTGAAAGGCGGAAGTGGAGGCCGGAGCCTGGGACACCGCCGGGGGGGGGAGAGGAGCGGAACCCGTCCGAGCCCCGGCCCCAAGTAACGCCGCCGCCCCGGAGACGCCGTGAGTGTGCCTGTCCTGGGACCTAATGTCTCGCTCGCGTTGAAGCCTCTTCGGGGCAGCACTTCCTCCCGCCGGACGCCGGCTTAGGGGGATACTGACCCCTCCCCCGACCCGTAGCCTCCTCTTAAGGGGCTCCCCAGGCGTCGGGCCAAAGTGGGGGCCCTTCTTTCCTTCCCTTACCTGCCTCTTATGAGCCTTGGGAAACCCCCAGGGCTCTCCTCTGGCCTGTCCAGTCCAGTTGTGGGAGGGAGAGACCCCAAATTCTGCTCCCTCTGCTCCCAGAACTGGAGGAATCTTTCCTAGGTATGAAGGAGCTTGTCTTCCTTCTCTATAGAGGTGGCGAGGAGTGCTGTCTGTCGCCGTTTTCCTCCCCCTCCCCGCCCCCCCACCGTCCCACAAAAACAATTGTCTTCTCCTGCCCTAGAGAAATTTTATCTCGATTTCCTGGGGGGGCGGAGGGGTCCTGGGTGAGAGCCTTCCACACGCACAGGCTCCCACAGCTCCTCACTTCCTCTCTTTCCTCAAGCCAGGGAGCCAGCCAGGATCTCAGCAGAATTTAAAGTCTGGGCCACTTTTTAGGAATGAGCTGTCTTCTCCTTGTCTTGCCCCCTCCACCCCCAACCTTGTCCTCTAGTTATGTTCTCTAGTTGTGTTCTCTGGAGTGTATCTCTCTTCCTGCCTCTGAAAAATTTAGCTGAGGTTTGCTTAATCCTAGCTACAGATCACAGATCAGGGTGGATCTGCCCATTCATTATCTTCTCTCTCCCCCCCTGTCCCCCTCCCCCTTGCTCCAGGCTCAGCCCTGTCCTCCCAGAGCACGTGAGTGGTTTTCAAGCTGCTTCAGAGGGACTGCTCCTCCTGGGACTGCTGTCTGCTGGTCTTTAGGGAGTAGGGGAAAGACCAAAAATAAGGAGTGTGGAATTGAAGGGTCCTGGCCTGTCTCTTTCCCACTCTCAAACACACACACACACACACACACACACACACACACACCTCCTTGATCAACAGGTCTGTGTCACTTCTGCCTAGTCTCAGGGCCTCTCCAATCCCTTCTGGGCTTGGACAAATTGTAGATTACAGAGGAGTAAATTGAGACCACAGTGGCACCTCTGGGTTCTTAATGTGCTAATTTTTGTAGCCCAAGGAATTCCCATGCATGCCAGAAAGTACTGATTCCCCCACCTCCCCAGCAGCCTTTCCAAGAGGCAGCCTGTACTGACATCTGATCCTTGTCTATTGCTTGGGACTTAGGTGTGTGAAATGGCTGTTGTCTCAGACCAGGCTCGCAGGTTTTGTTATGTGGCCAAAGTGCAGGCCAGAGACTGTTCCTTAATGAGAGTAGCCTGACTCTTTGAGGCCGTGGCTGACCCTTGCTGTCTACAGGCGAGGGAGGGAGGAAACAACATGCAGTCTTTGGGAATTTCTGTAGCTCTTCAGTGTTCTGGGCCACCTTTACTGCCCTTACAGGTGCTAACCATTTTTTGTCTTGGGACCTTTTTGACTTCTTCTGGACAGTCACCAGTGTCTGACACCTACAAACTTTTGAGCTAGACCTGGGATGCATTCATTCCATTTTTTATTGGACAACAGGAAGGCCTACCTTAATTAGGGCCAGTGGTTGGATCACAAGCTCTCTATCTGTGTGGTCTTCTTTGGAGGGTCGTTGGAGACTTCTTTGGCCAGCCACGTTTCTCTAATCTGGTCATCCTGTGCCTCTTAGGGGCAGGGCCAGAGAGACCTGCCTGCTCATTGGCCGTTGGTCTCTAACCAAACTTACCTCCTTGGTAGTGAGCTGTGGTTTCTGGAACTCTTTGGGAGTCCCAGGATGAGGCTGCCAGCCTTCTGAGGGGACCTTCTTTGTCTGGACATGCTCTCCCAGCTAGGATTCTGAAACAGGTTTTTTTTGAAGGAGAAGCTCTCCCTTTCAGGGAGACGTGGAAGGCATCAGTGCCCCGGGTAGTTAGGCAGCCACTTCTGGCATCCAGGGATTGTAGAGTTCCAAGCAGTGATCTGACGTTGCTTGGCAGAAAGAGGGAGGGCTCTGTGTGACACAGAAGCCTCTCTCTTGCCTCTTCCAACTAGCTGTCCTTTCCTGCCTTCATACAATAGAGAGGTGGTAACAACTGATTTTTATTTTATTATTATTATTATTATTTTAAGATTTTATTTATTTATTTGACAGAGAGAGACACAGCGAGAGAGGGGACACAAGCAGGGGGAGTAGGGGAGGGAGAAGCAGGCTGCCTGCGGAGCAGGGAGCCCGATGTGGGGCTCAGTCCCAGGACCCTGGGATCATGACCTGAGCCGAAGGCAGACACCTAATGACTGAGCCACCCAGGCGCACCAATTTTTTTATTATTATTTTTAAAAATTTTGTTTACTTGAGAGAGAGAGCAAGCGAGAGAGCATGAGCAGGGGGCAGGGAGGGGCAGAGGGAGAAGCTGACTCCCCGCTGAGTGGGGAGCCTGATGCGGGGTGATCCCAGGACCCAGGGATCATGACCTGAGCTGAAGGCAGACGCTCAACTGAGTGAGCCACCCAGGCATCCCAACAACAGATTTTTAGAAATCATTTTAAAGTTGCAGTTTTTGGGGTGTCTGTGTGGCTCAGTAGGTTAAGCGTCTGCCTTCGGCTCAGGTCATGATCCCAGGGTCCTGGGATCGAGCCCCACATCGGGCTCCCTGCTCTGTGGAGAGCCTGCTTCTCCCTCTCCCTCTGCCTGCCACTGTGCCTACTTGTGCTCTCTCTCTTATCTCTCTGTCAAATAAATAAATAAAATCTTTAAAAAAAAATGAAGTTGCAGTTTTTTCACGCATGTTTCTCACAGGAAACAAAGTTCACACCTATTCCTCACAGAGTCCTGGGAGATAGTGGGATTTGTATCTCCGTTTTAAAGATGATGCTGGGGCGCCTGAGTGGCTCAGAGGGTGCCTGAGTGGCTCAGTCGTTGGGTGTCTGCCTTCGGCTCGAGTCATGATCCCGGGGTCCTGGGATCGAGCCCTACATCGGGCTCCCTGCTCTGCGGGAAGCCTGCTTTTCCCTCTCACAGTCCCTTCCTTGTGTTCCCTCTCAAGCTGTGTCTCTCTCTGTCAAATAAATAAAATCTTAAAAAAAAAAATAAAGATGATGCTGAAGGAATTTAAGTAGCTAGCCTTAGATCATCCAGTTAGAAAGCGGTAGAGCCGGGGCTTGGGATTTGGGATTCGATGTGCCTCATCTTCCAAAGAGTGAGCCCTCCTTGGGTCTGTTTAAGGAATGAGCATGCAGGATGAGCAAGCAGAGGCCCCAGGCAGACCCTTAAGCATCCCTGTCATTGATGCCGCTCCTCTGCTTCCATTCTCTTCCCCACCCTCCTGTCCTCCTGGATCCCCATCTCCTCTGCCTCTGGGGACCATGGCAGTTATGAGTCCCAGGTCAGTACTCTTCAGGGCCTGACAGTTTGCTGACATCTGTACCATTAATTCTGGGAACCTGAAAGTCCTGATGGCTAGAAAATGAAAGTAAAAGTGAGTGGGCTCAGGGGTCTCTCTGGACAGGGTTATGGGTAATGGGAGCCAGCAGAGGCGGCTTCTGCTGCCCGCCCCCGCCCCCCCCATTCCCCTTGGTGCTGCCGCTGCTTGCAGGTGGGAAGACTGTGGCTCTCCACCAGGAGCTCCTTTCACTAGAATTTACATGGAAACAGCGAGATCATAAATTTAACCCCATGAAGCAAGTACTTCTTAGAGAGAGCCTTCTTCCTCTGACCCTTGCCCAGTAAACAGGTGGTATGGTAGGGGGGAAAGTGCAAGAGCTTTAGAGTCAGCCAGAGCTGAGTTGTCATCTGGATTCCCCCATTTACCAGTCACAGGGCCTTGGACTTGTTACATGACCTTGTTGAGCCTCTGTTTCTTCCAGTAGAGTGGGGATACAAAGTATTTTGCAGAATTGGAAACAGAGGGTAAAGGAGCTAGTCCAGGTCCTGGCACAGGATAGATAGACACAAATAGCAATTTTGTGGATTGGTGGGGTTTGAAAGGCATATTATAATTCATCATATGTACAGATTCAGCATCTGTACCAGGTATTGCTGTGATGCCTTGTGCTTTGCTTGATGGTTTCACATGTTGTCTCATCTCATAGATATCGATCAAAATTGCTGTGGGTTGTCTTCCCATTTTACAGAAGAGAATGCTCAAGCCTTGGCTGTGCTTCTCCCACTGGGCTTCTCCCACCCTGCTGGGGTCATGTGCTGTGGAGTCTTCTAGGCTCTTCCGTCTTCATCTTAAACATTTTTGCATTAAAACAGTTCTGGATCTATTACAGATTAGAATGCAAAGTTTGCCTGAATCTAAGCTAAAACAAGAAACTCAAAGAGAATATTTTGGTTGTGGCAGGCTGCTTGGCGTTCAATTCCCAGATTCCTAGGGTTTTGCATTTCCTCTCCCCTTGTTGGGGCTATTTAAGAAGCACTGCTTTCAGGTAGGATTTATAAACTGGGATGGCACCAAGGTCGGGGACTTTCAGGAGCCATGGCAGAGGAGAATTGGTATATTTTTTAAGGGACTCCTCCGAATGAATAGCCTGGTATTTTAAGAGAGTAGTTTTCAGATTATATATCCACATTTCCTGTATATAGGAACAATAAACAAGTAAAAGCGCATCAGTCAGGAGTCAGAATCTAGTCTGTGCTGGGATCCCAATGCAGCACAGCCCCTCTCCCCCCATCTCTGGGCTCTGTGCTCTTCCCTTTGCCTGGAGGGCTCTTCTTCCCCTCCCCTGCCTGGGAGCCGGATCTCCAGACTTTGCTTTCCAAGCACAGGTGGAAAGTCACTTCCTCTGTGAAGCCTTCCCTCCCCCGAAGGGCTGAGGGCTTCTCTCCTCTCTGCACTTTCCTCTTAGCACCCCTTGTCTAGTGCATGAGCCCTGTAGGGGCGCAGATCATGTCCTGTTTTATCTGTGCATCCAGTCCTCGCATGGTCTCCAGCATGGATGCCCCCTCCTGCGGTTGTTAAAGGAAGGGG